CTGGGAGTTTTTAAAAGCCTCAGGAATCTTTTGCAGGTGTTTAGAGTGACGTCGTTGATTCAGATGGTTAGGTTAATAGCTTGTTTAGAGAACCTTTTCATGATATGCTAATTTTTTGGGACAGGCATTTTGGGTTTTCATGAGCTGTATGCCATAATCATCAGTATTAAAACAACTAAAGACCTGAAATATTTCAGTTGGTGTGCAATGAATCTGAAATATATGAAAGTTTCATTTTTATCATTACATTATGGAAAATAATGACCTTTATCACAATATGCTAATTTTTTGAGAAGGACCTGTAGGTGCTGAGGGATGATCCTGTCCTTCCGCTGTCATGAGCCGTGTTTCCTCTTACCATCTTGCCTTCTGAGAGACACTGACACTCTGAGAAGCTCTTTTTATACCCAATTATGTTGTCAATTGACCTAATTAGTGTTAATTGGTCTTCCAGCTGTTCGTTATATGCTCTATTTCCTTTTTCCAGCCACTTATTGCTACTTGTCCCAACTTTTTTGGGATTTGTTGACACTGTGAAATTTTGAATCAACATATTTTTCCTTTAAAATGTTACATTTACTCAGATTAAACTTTTGATCTGCCATCTATGTTATATTACGAATAAAATATTGACATTTGCCATCTCCACATCATTGCATTCAGTTTTTATTCACAATTTGTTTAGTGTCCCAACTTTTTTGGAATCCGGTTTGTACTTTCAATGCAGAGGAACAGCGGGTCTACTCGCCATGATTGTGTTTTCTAAGGTCATCTAGCTGTGGCAGCCATCTTAAATTATTTTGATTAATTTGTATCCAAATATTTTCAAATGTTTTATCTTTCCAGTGGTTCATGAGATGTTTTGCTAATCATCAGTCTTTCAGCTGCAAGTGATAATTAAAAAAAATTTAAAGTACAGTCAACTTCATCCATGTAAGGTACCCATCATTTTTACCCACTTCATCCTTTCCGGGTCGTGGGGCAGTCAACTCTGTATGAGACTTCTCAAGTCAAAGGGTAATGATTCCAACTGTAGCTGCACTTACTTCCTCTGGTTTAGCAGGGCAATCTCGGTTTGCACTTTCAGGTATTCTTGGGCCATCTTGCAGTGCTGCTCAAACACAGCCATGGACTCTTTGGAGTTTGGGCAGGGAGCTAGAGGCTGAAAAACATAAACAATATAAACTGAAATGTCAGTGTGTTGTTGGGTTAATCTATGGTGGTGTCCACCCAAATCATTTGAGGAAACTATACTTTATTTGAAAAAAATAGCATAGTTCCCACAAATGATAGGGGAGGCCAATTTACACAGACATCTTGAATTTTGACTTAGCAGCCCAAAACTTGAGAGGGACCTTTTCCTCCCTTAAGGCTCCAGTATACTGCCGCGTACGTCCGTTCACGCGTACGTACGCGTTTACTGTACGCAGAAGGTTCAGACATTAAACTCCAGCGTACACCCCGAGCAGCTGCAGAGCAGCTTCACAGACAAGGGGCGTTTACCTTTGGGACAAATTGAGGTCGCCGATTGGTCATTTGCTGACACACCTACTGGATTGATTGACAGGTCAGGAAAAAAAAAATGAACGCTGGCAGCCTCAGCCGCAGCGGTGTTCTGTGTTTATATGTTGTTAATAAAAAGATCTAAAAAATAAAAAAAACAGCGCGCTGGCTCTAGAGCCTACACATCAGACCAGCCCACCAGGAAATCTCCAGACCCTCCAGCAGCCATGCTAAACCTGAGTTTAATTCGCTCGTGACAAATTCCTTCATTTCTCACCATTTCAGTCATGGCATCAATGGAGGAGGAAGAGATCTCTTGCCTCTTGGCAAAAAAAACAAAAGAAAAGGCCAGACCAGGGATGAAGAAGGGGAATTTAATACATTGGTGTCGCATACAAAACAGTCCGTCGCTGGGCAGTTTATTGTGCAACACCACGTACGCGTATGTGGTCGTAAAAAATTGAGCTTTGCACGGACATGCCCTGGGGGGTAAGCTCGTACCTCCGCGTACGTACCTCTGCGTATGGACGTACGCGGGAGTATACTGGGGGCTTCAGATGCAGTTGCACACCAAAACAGAAGTTGGTACGTTGCTTACCTTTCAAGTTATCCAGCTCACAAGGTTGACATATATGCATAAATGGTGGCAGCCATCTTGGATTTTGAAGTGGCAACCCAATTTTTTTAAAGAATCTTTTGTACATCTAGATGCAGCCACACACCAAATTTGAAATTGGTATTTCACTTATTTTTAAAGTTATGCTCAAAACATGCACAGACGGACGGTGTGTATTTCCCCCTCTTCACTCCACGATGGGGGACAAAAACAGTAACGTGCAGCAAAGAGAGACTGATTAAGCATGTACCACTTGACATGTCTGTCAAACAACAGACAAGCGTACCTGAAGCTGGTGATCCAAAGTGAGATAAGCCATAGGAATGGAGTTATCTGAACTGTTGGTATCTGTGAAAACAGAAGGCAGACAGATAAACGACTAGATCTTGTATCGGATGCCAGCGTCTCACTGGACTGCAATTGTTGACAGGGTTCCTACAAATTTTACATGATTAAATTTGACATTTCTCTGGACTTTTGAGCTTTTCATACATTAAAACATCTGTAAATTTCCCAGACTGTAAATTATTGGTTTGACCCTCTAAAATTCACAAGTTAAAACCTGGAGAAACAGCTTTACACTTATCTACACATCTTATCGTACACACTTATCTTACATCTACAAGTTAGACAGAGCAGTGTGAAAAACAATGGGGAATTCTCAGGTCCTTCAATGCCTTCAGAGAAGGCTCAAGATTTCAGAAAATGTTACCGGAAATGTTACATTTAAAACCATTACTTCAAACAAACGTCAAAAATCAATCATACTGCTGATGTAAATGGACTGTACTTATATAGCGCTTTTCTATCTTATTTCAAGATACTCAAAGCGCTTTAAACTACAATCTGTGCCTCATTTACCCATTCATACAGCTCTATACTAGATCTATACAAAGATAATTGAACAAATCATTCTAAAGAGACTAATCAGAGCTTTATTACATTCAAACACTGATGGGACACACATCAGAGGCTATGAGGGGTTCAGTGTTTTGCCCAGGGACACTTCGACATGTGACTGCTGGTGGATTCGAACCCCCAACTCTCGCATTGGAGGACGACTGCTCTAACCACTCAGCCACAGTCGCCCCGATGTAGAGCGGGTAGAACCAAAATACAAGACTCTTGAGCAGTCAAAGAAGCCTTGCAAAACTTTTTCTTTTGGACCATGTGAATCTTCACAAATCTTTGTGATGCATTCAATTGCAACTTGTAAATTACCCCAAAAAATCCAGACAGAAATTGTAATTGCTCTAAAAATGAAGGTTAAATATCAAATATTATTAAATATCAAATTTAAGTTTACGTTTATCCATCCATCCATTATGATTACCCACTTTTTCCTTTTCAGGTAGCTGGGGTCGCTGACGCCCATATACAGCAGTCAATGTGTGAAAAAAGAAGAACAATTCAAAATTCAATTCAAATATACTTTATTAATCCCAAAGGGAAATTATTTGTTGCTGTAACTCGTTATCCTCGTTTCATTAAGAGAAGTTATAGATGCTGATGGCTGTAGGCAGGAAGGATCTCTTGTAAAGGTCCATCTCACAGTGGATCCTAAGAAACTGGCTGCAGATGCCGTCCGATCCGTCCACCCAGACTCGACTGGCCTCTTGGTTCCCCCGGACTGTAGGACCGCCCCAATGCTGGGCAGAACTCCTCCCACAGCGATGGCCACTCCTCCCAGCAGTCTGCCAAGCTCCTCGTCGCTGCGGACAGCCAACTGTAGGTGCCGAGGGACGATCCTGTCCTTTCGATGTCATGAGCCGTGTTTCCTGCTAGTTCCAGGATCTCAGTGGTCAGGCACTCGAGCACAGCTGGCAGGTAGATGAGAATGCGTCCACAGAACATCCTTTTCAACTCATTTGAGATTTGGGGCTGTAGTTGAGATATTATTTGAGCTTTTGAGATGTTAATCAGCTGCTGTTGGTTGTAGAAAACTGCCTTGTTGCCATGGTTACGCATCATAACAAATGTCCAAAACTAAAAAAGTTTTAGTAAAAATCCTTCCAGCTGCACAGCATCTGATACCAGAGGAAACAATCATCCAAAAAATCTGATTTACATCCAGAAAAAGAGGAACTAACATTTCCAAAAGCAAAATCTCAGAATGAAAGTAACAGAGCTGCTCCAACATGCAGCCACCTTGAGCGGCGCAATTCTAGAACTATGCCTATAACTAGAACTATACTTATCAGACCCGGTGTAGCTATGTTGTGCCATCAACTCTGATATCTCTATGTAAATGCACTCATTTCTTGTGGCACTGTCTGTCAACATGATGAGGAAGTCGTGGTTCAGATGTAGTTTGCAGTTTTGCTGGGAAGACAGTGACGTAGCTCGGCTGGCCAATCAACGGCTGCTGTCTACTTACATCCAAATTGGCTCTTCTGAGCAGTCCGCTTGGAACCTCAAACAAGGTGGTCCCATAAACCGGGCTGAGTGGGGGTGGGTGCCAGCAGTGGGCAGGCCCTTAACTGGTGCAGTGTCATGTGGAACCGATGAGAGTTGAGACAGTAGCAAAGTGCCAAATTAGTCCCAGCTATGACCACATTAAATTGAAATCAATATCTGTAAAACTGACTATTATACATTTATTTTTGTGTAGGCCAATGTCAAATAGTTGTGATGACAAAGCACGAGTTGAAGATGACTCTCAGTGTCACTCTTAGAACTGTTTTTAACATTTGAGCTGTCTTGCCATGTACATGTTTGACTTTGTTGCAGTATATGTCTCCAGAGGAAAGATCCTTTGAGTACCTGTGGGTTCATCAGGGGAGAAGAAGCCTCTGCTACTTGTTTTGTCAGGAGGCATCATCCTCACACTTGGACTAGAGGACCGGCTCGAGTTCCTGCTACCCTGCAAAAAAAAAAAAAAAAAGAAGAAGAAGAAAATAAACAACTCACATAGACACATACACAGGAAAAAACAAACAAACAACATAAAAACAGTTGATAGCTTCTACTGTGTCAAGTTATAATAAAGTGGGACCTGGAGCAACAAAACTAAACATGTTCTTGATAACATCTTGATAACGTAGTGCTGTAATGGTACACGTGGGTTACTGAACCGTTTTGGTACAGCATGTTCGGTTCGGTCCACGTGTGAACGGTTTCTTTTGTTTTTTCACTTATTAAATTTTATTAACGAGAGATTATGCGTCGCGGAACTAAAGTCCTACGCGTGTTTCAGCATGGCACTATTATCTTGCAGCATGCGTAGCATTAGCTGCCTAGCAGGCAACGAACAAGCCATCTCATTGTGGTCTCCTGTTTGGGAACATTATGGCTTTCTTCTTAAAAGAGAAGTGGATAAATCCAAAACTGTGTGTCAACGTTGTTTCACGGAGATTGGATCTGCCGCAGGCAACACGTATAACTTGTTAATGCTCTTGAAACGACATCATCCGAATGTTAAAGTACAGTAGTTTGGTTCAAAGACCGATAATGGCAGCATTTAAACAACCGTTATCAGGTAATTCAGATCGGTCCAAAGCAATAACACAAGATGTAGGTGTAACCCAGGTGTAAATTTAACTTCCATTCTCTGGACCTTCCACTCTTTATTCCCTTTATCTATCAAATCTTGCGATAGTTCAAATGTACCATCATAAATTCTCGCGAGATTACTCAACAGCCAATCGCTGTTGAGTATCAGGGTCACATGCTCCACCACAGCCTATTTGTTAGGTATATTAGCTGGAGCGAGGAAGTAGGAAAGTTTAGAACTTGTTGGGAGGAGCAGAGCTGCAGGAGCCAACTACCACGAACCGAGAAGAGATGAAAAAAAGGTTATATGAGATAGAAACTGCGGACCGGATGAGTGTTTCTGCGTGTCACTTAGCGGTTAGCTTATTGATGACATTAAGTGGTTGTTTTGTGTAGCTGTGAAATCACTAACTGCTGTTTAGATCTAGACGCCCATACTAGCTGTAAACAACCAACTGGAGAACAATAAGGTGCCTTAAATATTTATTGAGAACTTGTTTAGATTGTTTTTTTTTTACATTTCATGTCAACTAATTTATATGATGTATATTTATTGGATTTTTCATGGATGTAATTAGGCCCGAGCAGCTAAGCGCTGCGAAGGCCTATTGTAATTGTGCTGTTTCTTATTATTATTCTTCTTGGGACATTTGGGACGCATTTTTGGAGGCCTTAACATATCCCAAAACTCACCAAACTTCACCAAAAATTGTCCCCCGCGTGAAATTCTTGTACTGTAATGGAACCAAAAGTGGGCGTGGCCAAACTGCTCCACAGCGCCCCCTAACGTGAGATATGACAACTGGTAAGTCCTAGAGAGCTGAAATTTGGTACATATGTAGAACCCACTGAATCATGAAAAAAAGTCTCTTGGAGGTATGCCTTAAACCAAACAGGAAGTCGGCCATTTTGGGTCAAAGGGTCAATTTTGACCGTTTTTCACTTTTCGTACACGGCGAATTTGAACGAACTCCTCCTAGGGATTTCGCTCAATCGGTTTCAAACCTTCGCCATTTTGCTCAGTAGGCATGGGGGACCTAAAGTTATCAAAACGGTGCAAACCGACGTATGTTGAGGGGGCGGGGCCGGACCTCAAAATTATGCTTCACGCCAAAAATTTCCAAACGCTACAACTTTCACATTGAAAAACAGAATCGTACCAAATTTGGCACGAGTCATCCCTATCCCATGCCCGACGATACCCTGAGGTCAAATTTTGACGTCATCAAAGCCCCGCCCCCTCAGAACAGGAAGTGGCTTTTTTGGCTTGGAATGCTCCCTCCCTGACACTCTTCACCCAATCAGGATGATCCTGTGTCAGAAGGCAGATAACAAGTTGGTCTGACTTGCTTTGAAGCGCAAAGCGTTTCCCCTGGAGGATGTGGGCGTGGCGGCGTGGCGAAGTCAGAAGTGACGCCGTTACAATACGTTTGGCTCTAAATTCCACAGATTTGATCCGAGGTTCATGAAAATCACTATGATCGATCATTGCCCGCCCCTTGAACAGGAAACCATGATGATTGCGCAATAGCCTCTCTAGCGCCCCCTAGAATATTTTAAAACCTCAGCCCGAGCCGTTTTTCGACCGATAAATCTGAAACTCGGTGAACATGTGTATCTTCTCAGGACCTATGAAAAAGTCTCTTGGCGCTCCGGTCCAAAACCAACAGGAAGTCGGCCATTTTGGGTCAAAGGTTAATTTTTGGGCGTTTTTAACGGCGAATTTTAACGAACTCCTCCTAGGGATTTTGAAAGATTGACTTAAAACTTGGTTATTAGGCCCTTAAGACATTGGAGAGTAAAAGTTATCAAAAGCTTTCGGTTTCGTTTTGTTAAAGGGGCGTGGCCAGGCCTCAAAGTTGAGCTTCACGCCATAAATTTCCAAACGTTATAACTTTCAACTTGAATGACAGATTTGCACCAAATTTGGCACGAGTCATCCCTGTCCCATGCCCGACGATACCCTGAGGTCATATTGTGACGTCATCAAAGCCCCACCCCCTCAGAACAGGAAGTGACTTTTTTGGCTTGGAATGCTCGTTCTTTGACACCCTTCACATAATCAGGATGATCCTGTGTTAGAAGACAGATAAGATGGTCTGACTTGATTTAAACAACAAAACAGTTATAGCTGGAGAATGTGGGCGTGGCGCCATGGCGAATTAAAAAGTGACGCCGTTGCAATACGTTTGGCTCTAAATTGCACAGATTTGAGCCCAGGTGAACCAAAATCACTATGATTGATCATTATCCATCTCTGAACAGGGTTCCATGATAAGTGGCCAAGAACCTCAACAGCGCCACCTACATTCTTCTTACAGTTATATCTCAGTGATACAACATCCGATCTGAACCAGATTTTTGGTACGTCATTACTGAGAACTGATGGACATTTTAGTTTTGTTGTTTAATATTTGACTCAAGGGCGCCCCCTACATTATTCAAACTGTTCTGTCTCAGTGATATATCAGCCGATCTGCACCAAATTTATGGAGTATTATTATTTAGCCCTGGTGGACACAGTAGTAATGTTTTTTAAATTTTGACTCTATAGCGCCCCCTACAATCTTGCAACAGTTATATCTCAATGATAAATCATCCGATCTGCACCAGATTTTTGGTATATTATTATGTAGCCCTGATGGACACATTAGTAATGTTTTTTAACTTTTGACTCAAGAGCGCCCCCTATAATATTCCAACCCTTATATCTCAATAATATATCATCCGATCTGTACCAGATTTTTATGGCATAATGTGTGACCATGTCTAGACACATTGTTATTTTTGTTTAATATTTGACTCAAGTGCGCCCCCTAGATTATTCAAACTGTTATATCTCAGTGATATGTCATCCGATGTGGACCATATTTTTGGTGTGTGATTAGTGAGCACTTAAACACACAATGGTATTGTTGTTTTACTTTTGACTCAAGTGCGCCCCCTAGGTAAATCAAACTGTTATAGCTCAGTGATATATTGTCCGATCTGCATCAGATTTTTGGTGCTTGACTAGTGAGGACTTATGGACGCAGTGGTGTTGTTGTTTAATATTTGACTCAAGTGCGCCCCCTAGATAATTCAAACTGTTATATCTCAGTGATATATCGTCCGATCTGCACCAGATTTTTGGTGCTTGACTAGTGAGGACTTATGGACGCAGTGGTGTTGTTGTTTCATATTTGACTCAAGTGCGCCCCCTACATTATTACAATAGGTATATATGCGGTCGCAGCTTATGTCAAAGGTTTGGCGAATGCGCACTCCGGAGAACGGGCGCGTGACGGTAGCGTGAGCGTTATCGATGGCGACCGGGAAGGGTCGCTGCAGTTCCCGCGGTCGCCATAAGGCCGCAGCGGCGCTTCGCTGCGAGGGCCTTGAACGCTGCTTGCAGCTTTAATTTATATTGAACTTTATATTTATTGAATATGCATATTGACTGAAAATGATTGTTGGAATTATTTATAGTGCAAAGAGTGTCATTTATTGAATTGGTGTGCACACTAGAATGTTTTGATTATACATTTATTGAGAAAATGGTCCTGTTTTATTATGCAGGCCAGGTAGATGGCGAGCTGAAGGTCCAGGCCTAGAGCCTAAAGAAAGGATTGCACTTGTAGTGCCGAAGATTTCTGCTTCTCCTGCCAGGCTGGTAGGAGGCTCCTTGCAGCCAACTGAACAATTTTGTCCCTACTCCAATATGACATTTGTCAGCCCACGACCTGCACTGAACCCAGCACTTTATAAGTAACTTGCTTGGGACCTGAATCAACCCCAGCTTGGGGTGAAAGAACTGAAGGGTGTGGGTGTGTTGCTTATGGAACTGTGGGATTGTTTCCCCCCCACATTTGTTTGTGTTGTTGTTGTTTTTGTTGCACATTCTTTATATGGCCATATGGTTGATTTCACTAATGTTGTAAATATATATATTTTTTTCTTCACTCTAAATACAAGTCACCCGCAACTGCAAACTTCTAGTCTCTGTCTGCTCCTTCAGGAGACGTACCTTTATCTTCTGAGAAAATAGCCCATTTAACATTTTTCTTTATCAACCATTTACATTGATATATTGCAGCATATTAATTTTTTTATAAATATGCTACATAGGTGTTTTTAAAGCTCTGGATCTACGTCCAAATTCAGTTGTTGAATGCGCTGGCTCTAAGCATAAAGTTCTTGAGCCCCACTGCATACTCCATCCATCATGTCAAAACTTCAGCCAAAAAGTTGTAGCAGCACTTTATGAAAAGCTAAAAATGATATTGTCAACAAGCCCGACCCCAGGTATAAAGCCCTGCCACACCCTGGAAACAGTTCCCACTTGCCTGAAGACTGCCACCATCATCCCAGTCCCAAAGAGCTCTACAGTGA